TTTTTTACCCAGACGCATCTAGACAAGATGAAAACTATTCAGTGGGGACTCTCTTCTCCCACACACTATTAAACTAAAATCCCCCTTGAAACCTTGTAAGCCAATCACCTTGTTCCTTTATTGCCCCCTCATTTTAGGTAGCCAGTGTCTAAGTTGCCCATCCCTATCTACCCTGTATACAGAGGGGATAGCATTGATACTTGATGTGAAGACTCCTTCTTTCTTTGTTGGTGTTTAGAGTTACTACCTCCCTGAGTGTAGGTCAAGTTCATAAAATTGTAGCAATTTACACTCATTTCCTTTATCTAAAAATGTTTTGTTCCTTTATTAATCTTCCTCTAGTTCAGTTCTGATTTCTTGACTGCTGCTTCCATGAGTGTTGATAGTTGATCCAAGAAGAATGAAGTCCTTGACAACTTCAATCTTTTCTCCATTGATAAGAATATTGTTTATTGGCCCAGTGGTGAGGATTTTTGTTTTCTTTTACATTGAGATGCAATCCATACCGAAGGCTGTGCTCTTTGATCTTCATCAGTAAATATTTTAAGTGTTCTTCACTTTCAGTAAGCAAGGTTGTATCATCTGCATATCGTAGGTTGTTAATGAGTCTTCCTCCAGTCCTGATGCCATGTTTTTCTTCATATAAGCCAGCTTCTCAGATTATTTGCTCAGTATATAGGGTAAATAAGTATGGTGAAAGAATATAACCCTGTTGCACACCTTTCTTAATTTTGAACCATTCCGTGTTCCCATGTTCTGTCTGAACAACTGTCTCTTGGTCCATGTACAGATTCCTCATGAGCACAATTAAGTGTTCAGGAATACTCATATTTTGTACTATTGTCCATAGTTTGTCATGATCAACACAAGCAGAAGCTTTTGCATAGTTAATAAAGCAGAGGCAAACATCTTTCTGGTATTCTCTGCTTTCAGCCACGATCTATCAGACATCAGCAATGATTTCCCTTGTTCCATGTCCTCTTATGAATCCGGCTTGAACCTTTGGAAGTTCTCTGTCAATGTATGCTTGCAGCCATCTCTGTATTACCTTTAGTAAAACTTTACTTGCATGGTATATCAGACATTGTTCAATATTTTCTGCATTCCATTGGGTCACTTCTCTTTGGAATGGGCACAAATATGGATCTCTTCAATCAGTTGACTAGATAGTTATCTTCCAAAGTTTAGAGATTAGTTCCTCGTCTGTTATGTCATTGCAAACAATAAATAAAAATTCCCTGTCTGTGGGCTCTTTTTTCACTCTTCTGTTGAAATCTTTGATGCATAAGTTTCTAATGTTTAGTATGCCCCAGTCATCTATTGTGTCTTCTATTGTTTGTACAGTTTTTGCAATGATTGATTGTCTATGTAAGCCATGTCTTAGAGCCTCTAGATTAGTCCTTATTTTTTCATTGATGATCTTTATACTTCTGGGATTTACATTTAAGTCTTTAATTCATGTTGAGTTAATTTTTGTATATGGTGTGAGATATAGGTCTTCTTTCATTCTTTTGCATATTAATTTTCAGTTTTGCTAGCACCATTTGTTGAAGAGACTATCTCTTACCCATTTAATGTATTTTAACTTTTTGTCAAAGATCAGTTGTATGTCATGAATTTACTTCTGGGCTCTCAATATTCGGTTCCATTCATCTATGTATTTTTCATTGTACCAGAATCAGGCCATTTTGTCCACTCTGGCAGTATAGTAAATTTTAAAATCAGCAAGTGAGAGCCCTCCAATTTTGTTCTTCTTATTAGACAGTATTTTGCTTATCCTGGGTCTCTTTCCTTTCCATATAAAGTTAGTAAGGCATTTTTTCATGTTTTTTAAAGAATGCTGTTGGATCTGGATTGGGATTGCTTTGGGTAATAATGACATTTTCACAATGTTAAGTCATCCTATCTATGAGCATGGTATGGTGTTCCATTTTTGCAAATCTTTTTGGATTTCTTGTAGTAGTATTTTGTAGTTTTCTTTGTATATAGGCCTTTTGTTTCTCTGATTAGATTTATTCCTAAGTATTTCATCCTTTGGGTGGCCATTTTAAATAGTTGTGTTGCTAATTTCCTTTTCAGAGTTATTTTTATTAGTATAGAGGAATCCAACTGATTTTTTTGCATATATTGACACAGAACTTCCAGAGGTTCAAGCCAGATTCATAAGAAGCCATGGAACGAGGGATATCATTGCTGATGTCCGATGGATTGTGGCTGAGAGCAGAGAACATCAGAAAGATGTTTACCTGTACTTTATTGACTACACAAAGACTTTCGATTGTGTGGATCATGACAAATATGGACAACATTGCGAAGTATGAGTATTCTGGAACACTTAAAGAGCAAAGTTGTCAGCTTGAATACTAAGGTGTGCCTGACCCAAGCCATGGTATTTTCAATAATCCCATATGCATGTGAAACCTGGACAGTGAATAAAGAAGACCATAGAAGAATTGAGGCTTTTCAATTATGATGTTGGAGGAAAATATTGAAAGTCCCATGGGCTTCCAAAAGAACAAACAGATCTATGTTGGAAGAAGTGCAGCCAGAGTGCTCCTTGGACGCCAGGATGGCCAGACTTCATCTCTCATACTTCAGACATATTGTCAGTAGAGACCAGTTACTGGAGAAGGATATCATGTTTGGTAGAGTGGAGGGTCAGAGAAAATGAGGAAGACCCCCAAGGAGATGGATTGACAAAGTAGCAGCATCAATGGGCTCAAGCTTGGCAACAATAGTGAGGTTGGCCCAGGATCAGGCAGTGATTCACTCTGCTGTGCATTAGGTCGCTATGGGTTGGTACTGATTCGATGGCACTTAACAACAACAGCAACCATAACAAGGAATGGTTGGTGAGTTTCAACCACCAACCTCGTGGTTCAACCTTGCAGTACAGTGCCATACCAGGAGTTGCTATATACAACCTATGTACATAAGTCAGACATGAACAATCACCAGGCTGTTTCCTGTTTGAATGAAGGAATCCCTAAGCACTCACCACCTCTAAATGAAGGCCTAGGAGTCTGTTAGCAGTAAGGACAGGCTTTTCCAAGACATGAAAACACAACACAGTTTTTGTCTTCTCTCATAAAGTCTTCTTTTAAACTGTAGACTCATTGCTAAGGCTGCCCAAAAGACGGGGCAAGAGAGAGACATAGATTCATTCTCACAGAAAAACTAGTGCTTGGAATTCTTAATAGGGTCTGCTTTTACCTAACAAAGAAGACTCCTAATGGGAAGAGACAAAGAGAGAGAGAAAAGAAAGACCTATGGATAAGTATGATGATATACCGTATTATAACAACTGTTTAACAGGAATTTAAAAATAACTCTCTGAAGCATAACATTCTTTCCTCTTGCCTCAAACTGAGTTACTTTCCAGTGGAGGTGACAGTTTGTTCCTCTTGTCACACCCTTTGATTTGAATGTTCTATTTTGGTTTAATTCAGTGGGTCCCAGGAAGAGCTAGTTCTTAATACCTGCATCTAACACTTAAAGATTATTAACATGGAAATAGTAGATTTCAGAAAATTTTAACAATCATCTTATTTGGAGACACACTATGGATGATCATAATAGGTAAAGGAGCTGTTTACTTTCAGACTACTTAGGTCAAAACAAAACCCAATGGGCATTTACCTTCTAGAGATTGAATCCATTACCCTTTTTACCTCTTTAAATGTCTAATGCTTTCTTGGAATGGCAAGGACATTTTAAATACATCTTAAAGAGGGAGCCAGCCTTTTTTTGTTAGCAATGACCTTTAACGATAGCTGTTTCATAATGCCTGCAAACACAGACACATTTTATGTTACTCTGCTCACAATCAATGCTCACCCCGCCTTTTGCTCTTTCCACACTGCTGTATCCACATGGAGATTTGCATATTGTTCCCCTGGGAGGACCTTCCCTTGCAAGTCTGAGATAAAAGGTCAGCTCCAACCTGCTTTTACTTATTAAGACTCATCAGCTCCTTCTCAAAATGAGGTTCCCTGCTCAGCTTCTGGGGCTGTTTTTGCTCTGGATACCTGGTGAGTACAGAGGGGAGACAAAAAGGAGAAGGCATAGGAAGGGTGAGCTTTGCCATCCACAAGTCCTACTTAGAATCTCTTCCATTAGATGAACAAATTTTATCCTTCAGCAAGAGGTGTGTAACTGTTTTATTTGAAAATATGTTGAAGAATTGAGAAACAAACAAGATCTGCTATCTAGTGAAAACTGTGACAACAAAATCAGGGTTAGAGTAGGAAAACTAGGACATTTGGAGTTTGAAGGATAATACTGCTCATGCAAAAAGAAAGTTGGAAAACATCAAAGTATCTTTTGCTAAAAAATAAATAAATACAATAACAGAAAACAGTCTTGGAAATGACTGATAATGTTTGGATATAACCTTGCTTTCTCTTGTTATTTCAGTGTCAAATGGAGAAACTGTGCTGACCCAGAGTCCACTCACCCTGTCCATCACACTTGGAGAGTCAGCCACCATCTCCTGCAAGTCAAGTCAGAGCCTTGTACATAGTAATGGAAATACCTACTTGAACTGGTACCGACAGGAGCCAGGCCAAGCTCCAAAGCCTCTGATCTATAAGGTTTCTAACAGGTTCACTGGGGTCCCAGACAGGTTCAGTGGCAGTGGGTCTGTTACAGATTTCACTCTTAAAATTAGCAGAGTGGAGGCTGAGGACGTTGCAGTTTATTACTGCCAGCAAAGTACAAAAGTGCATCACAGTGATAGAACCCAATACCAAAACCTGTGGTTTATGTGGTCCAGCTGCCCAAATGTGTAGCTTGACTGAGAGTAGGCAGTGTCTGCTGAAGAGGAAGATGTTTAGCTAAGTTAGGAGAAAGAGTTGTGACTGAGGTGTCAATAGTTAGGTTTATTTAACAGTAGGCTATAGGCTTAATGGAAGGAGCTCTGGTAGCGTAGTGGTTACGAATCGGGCTACGCCCCTCATGGACAGCAGTTTGAAACTACCAGCTGCTCTGTGGGAGAAAGATGAGGCTGTCTGCTGCCGTAAAGATTTCCAGCCTTGGAAACCCTGTATAGGGTCGCTATGGGTCGGAACTGACTCAACAGCACTTAACAACAACAACAGGCTTAATGGGGCAGGAAATGTGAAATGTGTAAAAGAATTCACTGGTTCTAAACAATCTAAGTTACCAGCAATGGATAAATAGATAAGCATCAATGAAAAAATGGATAGACTATGTATGGTGGTGGTGGTGGTTATGGTGGTTATGTGCCATGGAGTTGGTTCTGACTCATAGCAATCCTGTTCAGGGTTTCCAAGGCTGTAAATCTTTATGGGAGCAGAAAGCCTCATCTTTCTCCCACGGAACAGCTGGCAGTTTCGAACTGCCAACCTTGCGGTTCCCAGCCCAATTCGTAACCACTATGCTACCAGAGCTCCAAAGCCCGCTATGCCATAAGAGCTCCTTTATGATGTTAATTTGGCAGAATTAGTGGCAGGTGTGTTAATCTGTCAGCCTCCTTTGAGACACAGTGGTGGTGGACTAGCAATGACCTTTATAGGGTTTCTGACGCTGTAATTTTCATCAGAGAAGAAAGCCTAGTGTTTCTCCATGGAGCCACCGGTAGCTTCAAGGACTGATCTTGAGGCTAGCAGCCCAGCTCCTAAAACACTAGGCAACCATGGCTCCTTCCTTTGAGATATAAAAGAGATTATTCAAGAGAGTAGAGATCTGAGGGACCTAATTATCATGAAGAGAAAAGAGCTAGGAGTGAGTCATGGGTCCCTTGCTGAGAACTGCCTACACTCAGGGGAATATGGCTGCTAGGATGGGCTCCCAGATACTGTAAAAAGACAAGCTACCTCCAGAGCTGACAAAGAGGGAAAGCCCTCTCCTAGAACTGGCTCCCTGGTTCGGACTTCAAGAATCCTAAAATGTAATGTGAGACAATAAATTTCAGGTCTTTGAAATCATCCATTTGTGATTTGTGTGTGTATGTGTGATAGCTGCATGAGTTAGCTAAGATAATCACTTCAAAGATGGATAGTCATTTGAATCATGTAGACTGTATATTTTGAAAGATCATCCAGCCTTGTTGTTTGTTGTTAGGTGTCAACGAGTCAG